CTCCAATTTCACATTATTCAACTTAAAAAAGAAAAATGTTAATACACATATGAGAAACTGATACAATGATTTTATTGAGTCTGTACTGAGACAAAGTGAAATGAAAATGAGCTTCACAGGGGTAATAAATTGGAACAGAAATTGGGTTAGGTTGGGTTAAGTTATAAGTGATCTCAACTGCGTTACTGTTCCCTTTTCTATTTTGTATTTTTAATAAAGTCTTTTAATAAAGCTTTAAATGACCTACATTGTGTAAAAATAGAGGATTGTACAAATCCTACATATATTTTAGAATAAAATTATCAATATGTTAACTTGTATCTTTTTTTTTGTTGTACAAAGTATCAAGCTAAATATTTCATCGATACATTCGATTAGATTCATTCTTAGGTCTTACGTACGTAAAATCACGGATAATGACAGAAAGTGGTCGAATACAGACAGATGTATTTTTTTTTTGTTTTTGTGACATGATTTCGTAGGACAAGCAATTCCATTCTCTGTTCCCTTCATCCCCTTACGTCTTCTTCTTCTTCGTGTAGAAAGTCTCTCGCCCGTCTAAAAATGTTGCACGGGGTTTCCTGACTGAAAATGGCATACTGTGGCTCGCGCACGTACCTACGCGCCGCTACTTCTATTTTCTCCTTATATTTTCCCGATATTTCACGGCAAAGCTGTAGATACACCGGGAATACTTTCGAGATTCGTATTCACGGAAAATCGATACCACAGACGGACCAAGATGACGTTGGGTTTACAGGCTCTTTACTTCTGCTTGAACGCGTTGTCTGTCAAGCCGTTCTATCCCATCTCGAAGACACATAAAAATATCGCGAGATGAAGGGTGTCAGGGTAAAGCCTCTGCTACCCAGTTATACACACATCTCTGTGAATAGTCGTCTGTGAAGCGAACGTTTCTAGATGTTCACTTGCCTCTTATTAACGCACGTTGACGAGCAACCGCGATCGTTCCTCTCGTTTTCTACCTCGTAAATTATTTCGATCGCGTGTGCCTGTTCATGCATGAAGTTCAAACATTGGAATTTAACTTTCCTCGCGCTTCGTGTTTCCCCTTCAAACTTCCTGATTTCGATTTTAATTCGTTTCTCAAACGAACTCAACTGTAATACTTTGACAATACTTCTTTTAATACTGTTATGACGTATAATATTATGATAGTGTTGGATTCAACGCCTTTGTAAAATAATATTCAATATTCCCGAAAAATCCGAATTTCTGTTTTCACGCGTGGCAATGATCATGTAGGTTTTAGTTCTTCTCGTCTTTGATTGACAATCGATATTCGAGTGCGTAGCTATTTAATGTCTATAATATGATCTTTCATATTGTATCGTATCGAACTATACTTCACTACTTTTCTCACTAAAAATCATCAGGAAGTCAATTGAATGGTATCCTTTTTTACTCCTTGTGATTTTCATGATAGCAACAATCTGGAGCGCTCATTCGATCTTCCCAATCTTTAACTTGGGTTGAGATTAAGTTGACGATAAAGCTTGAAATCCTGCTGGTTCTCCCCTCGTTCTTTTTTTTATAAGACGGTTGGTATTTTCTCCTGAACTGTCCTATTTGAAAAAAAGCAGCCTCGCGCTGCTTGCGGGTGCATCGATTTTCTGGACGTAGTGCAACGCATGCATATGCAAGGGGAAACATTTCATTGCGGTCGCGGCAATGCTGCTTCTCGCATTCTAACTTATTGCTTAATTTAAAGAAAAAGAAACAAAGAAATTAGGACCAACAAAAGCGAATCGTTGCCCGTATGGAATTAAATTGCGTTCGCAGTGTTTGTGATTATGCTCTCTGATACTCTTTGAGAGCAAGTTTTCGACTGAAAACTGGTTTGGTTTAATCGTGTTAATTACGTTGCACGTGTCGCGATTGTCAGAGAGCTTTCTTGGAATTATCTTTTTAATTCTTCCTGTTTACCACTTCCGTTTTATTCGATTAACTCGTTATCTCTCCCTCTTATCAGAAGTTTTCACGGTCGCGAAATTAACAATTGATAAAGTCGAAACAACTTTATCCCAGTCAAGGTTTCAATCCTTGCGAACGTGAATCACGACGTGAATTCGTTGACACTCGGTGATGCAAAGTTTATTTGAAAACAATATTCCTACATCTGATTGTAGTATAAGCATTCCAATTCGAGAAACTCGCCTCTTTTTTTTTTCACTCGTCGATTCGTTGGAAGGTAGAGCAAAGCGTTAAGTTGAAATTTTTGCACACTTTCAGCGATTAATGAAATCATATTATACTAATTATATTATTATATATCAACGAAATCAAACGTGTTGTTGCAAATTTCGTGCTCCAGTGCGAAACGGTGAACAAGTTAAAATTGGTATCGTCGGTCTCAAAATAACAGAATGCAGCATGCGTGCAACAATTTTGCACTTTTTTTAGACGAAGATTTAAAGCTTGGGCGTTAAAGGTTTAACGCAGAAATAAAATGACAAGTAAAGGGTATGAAAGATCTTTGAATAAATAAAGAGCAATTCGAGGGACGAGACAATTTGTTTTCCAAGATCAAAATTCTGTGCTTAGTTCCTTGCCAGCTTTTATAAAAGCAAGGTGTTCACTTTTGCAGCGGGAGAGAAAAACGGGCCTCGTAAATATCAATTTTATTTATTATAAGCTGCCGGGATCCTCCCTTTGCACGTTCTGCGCGATCTTCGCTTCGTCTTTTATTTCTGCGACGCAGAGGATCTACGTCGCGTTGCAGCAAAACAGAAGAACTATTCGTTCATTTCGAGCCGATATTTTGACGTGACGAAGGCAGGCGAAAGAAGTGAATGTGAAAAATTTACCGCGCCCGAGGAAGATACCGAGGCGAGAGAAATATTCAAAAATGAAAGAGGGCGCAGAAATTGGAGATCCCAGATTTACGATTTATCGTTTTCCGGCCGTCGCTAGGGATTAACTGCACTCCCATGTTAAATCTCCAGCATTCAGTTCGTGTTAGAAGTTTCGTTGCGCAAATAATTTCAAAGAGAAATCTCCATGAACGTGATCGTTTCACCGATCCTCGAAAGCGAACGAGAAGATGGAAATGTTTCAAACCAGTGAAGTTTCATACTCACTCAGTTTTCATACCATCGGTATTTTAATGTTTCACTGAAAGTTATAAAGTCACGTAGTCACCGTTTCGTACATACATACAGGTGTTTTACACACATATATATATATATATTTTACCGTTCAAAAGCCTCTGTATACCAATTTAGTGAATTTGAATAAGCCATTCAAGTTACCATTTAACAAGCTGTTTAAGTGTCAATTATTCGACAGTTATTTATTCAAGTTATTAATCATTAATTAAATACTAGGATTATCACGTTTTTATGGAAACGAAAGACCATCTTCAATTACCTGTTAATAAACAATATATTTTTTTTTTACTTCAGTGTGTACATTTAAAGATTACGAAGAGAGAACAAGATAAGTTACGTAGTAATTTTTACAATTCAGAAGGAACTTTTAAAAGAACGAAATATCACAAACACCAGTCTTATTATTACATATTGAAGAAATTCATTAAATCATGTCGTTTATGTTAAAATCACTTCCTGTTAAAATAAATCCGTAATTTTTTTTTTTAATTACATATGGCGGTCAACGTTTGAAAGAAATAATTTTTACAGATAATGAAAAAAATCATGTTTAATCATATTGATATTTTATTGAAGGAAAATAGGTGGGAAGGAACTTTTGGTCTACTGCCCTGTACTATACTCACAGACAACGAAATTCTTTTAACTCGATATATTCATAATTTGAAATTAAAATGCATGTTGTCAGAGATAAGAAAGTATCTCGATACTTTTGAACGATAGCGTAAAAAAAAAAAAAAAGGAGGTTCGTCAGTCAACTCAAACATTTTGAACTCGTTGGTTCAAAGTTCGACTAGAAATTAACTTTTGATAGTTCTTGCTGACATGCGTATAGGAGAGAAGAGAACGATTCGAGCCGATATCTCGTTAGACCGAGCCGGTTTCGCGGATTAAAACGGTCGGATCAATTTGTGTGAAATGGAGAACGAAATGGAACACGGCCACGTTCAGACTTCCCCGATGAATAATTTCAACTTTATCGACTTTATAATTTTCATTTAACCATTCATCGGATTGCTCGAGTAATTGAGTTAGTCGTGAAAGCAAATCAAATATTTGCTTCATTTTCTAGAATATATCCTTTGAACCGTGTGCCTCAAACTTAATTAGAAATATTACTATACATCGTGTATAATAACTGCGTTGGATTGAATTAAAGTTAAACTGTATTTTGTTGTTCGTGTTGTTTCGTAAAAACATATTTTCATCGCTCGTTTGTAATCTCTGCGAGGAATGTTCTTCAGTTGGCGATTAAGGTTTCACCTAGTAATATATATATATAT